TTTGTGAAAGAATAATACAACACCTTTAATTTTTTTTTTTTTTTTTTTTTTTTTTTTTAGGACCCTGCTATGTTTTTACACAGCTTTCCCATTATATTGTGGCTCTTCATTACCCTCTGCTCATCTAAAAATTTTTGTGCTTTATCCTTTATTTGCCTTTCCTCTATCACTTCAATAATTAACTTAATAAGCAGCAAAACTTTTGTGAAACATTATGGACTTCAGGTTTTTAGGGATTCCTAGATAAGAATGGGCATTTATTTCAAATCTTCACATTCCTCTTGTACAGGTAGTTGTTACTGACAACGCTTTGTCTCTGGTATGGGCTTAAGAAGCTGTTCAGGGCAGTATGAGGCAGGGTAGCCTATCATTAAGAGAAGGTCAATATTTTCCAGAGGTTATTAATATGTACTTGGGCTGTTACCATGAAGCAGTAGGTACTTTAGTATGAATGTAAAGATTTTGTGTGATGATGATCTACTTTAGGGTAAATGACTAGGCTGTGTGGTGTGTTACTCTTCATGTTACTAGGCTGTCTCATTCTCTGTTACTTGCTCTTTTCAGCATTCTTCTGTGTTCCACATAAATCTTGTAGAGGCGACTTACAGAGTTGGCCGTTTCTCTCAGTAGCCGTACTAGATTTATTACTGTTGGATTTATTTAAAGTGCAACATAGAGAGGGGCTCAGCCTGTGTCTTTGCTGGGAATGAACTGTACATCAACAGTTCTGTCTTCTCTATGAATGTAGTAATTAATTCTCTAGTGGAAAAATCAGCTGAAGGTATTGCCTTGGTTTTTATATGTACGGCAAGCTTGTCTTCTAACATTGGGCTGTGTTTAGAGATCATAATTCTTCATGCATGGTGACATAGCTGAGGCTAAAAAGTCCATGATATAAACTGGACCAACTGGTTAAGAATATACTCACTAACTACTGCTTTCAGGACTGATCACTGCTTTCTCTGTGACATTTGCTAGTGAATGCACTCCTTATAAACATCTTCAGAAGCTAGGAACTGAAAGATGCTTGGTGATCTGCAGATTTATTTTGGGGTTTGTGTTTTGTTTAGTGTTTTGATAAGTTTTTATTCTTCCTTAAAATGTTTTACAGAAACTGTTTTTCAGTAAAAGCCTCTCCTGGCCTACTCTCCCTCCTTTTCTTATGTGGGAATTGCTTGATTTCTGTGTAGTATTTTCTTTTACTACTTGTCTGTGCCATTTCCTGTAGCTGTTTCAAATAGTATTGAAGTTTTAACTTTGCAAAGAACAGCGGTGATAAATGATGTGCAAGGTGTGTAGATTTGGAAAAAGGAAAAAATAGACAAAATATCTAGAGAAGAGTCACAAAACTGTTTGGTTATAATATTTGAAGGTTTTCACATGACCTGTCATGTAATCAAGTATACAAATGCAAGTATTATTTAAGTTTATTTAATTTATTTTGTATCCCAATAGCAAATATACACTAAATAGATTTTTAAAATACCCATTTTATACAGTACTGTCAGTATTGAGAATTCTGTGTGCTGACCTACATGAGAAGTCAGGGCAGTTGAGTTCCAGCTTATCTGCTTGCATTCAGCAATGTGAAGGTACTTACATTGATGAAGGATTTGTACATAACCCGTGTGATGTCAAAATATAAAGCAGGAAAAAATTAAATGAAAAACATTATTACAGTTGTTATAGCTAAAAGAAAATGTTTCTGCTGGCGTAAAGGAAATTTAATAGTCATTCCTATTAAGCTTGAAGCATATCATAGATCTTGAATCCTACTTTTTAATGTTCAGAGTGCATCAAATTATATTGATAGCAAAACATTGAAGGACTTTTCCCTCTTAAAGTTGCAAGAAAAAAAAAACAACAAACAGGAAACTTTTAAAAAGGTTTTTTTGCCTGATAGTTCATGATGTGAAACCCACCTTTATTTCCCTTAATAGATTATAAAAATATATTCTAGTTTGGAGTCCTTTTTTTTGCATCTTTCCTGATTATCAAAAATATCACAAGAATATGTCCTTGAAGTCTGATAATTTTTTTTGCAACTTTTCTTACTATGGAAAAAGTCACTTCCGCTTGATTTTTAAAATGTATTGGAAAGAAAGAATATGTTAAAACTATGTGAATTAATTAAAGCATTTAACATCTATAATAGGAAACATCAATTACAGTTTCCAGTTCTATTTCCAAGAGACCTTCCATTAGGTATAAAGGGTTTTGTTTAAATTATTCAAATATAAGTTGAACATTGTCAAATAATACCATAGATCCTACTAACTTATTGTTTCTAATTATCATCTCTGAAATAGTGAATACTTTGTAAACTGATTAGGTAGTGTAAAATTGGCATTTTCCTGCAAATTTCAAGTATTGTAGAACTGATTTGGACAAGTTGCTTTTTGAAATTACCAACTTTGGTATCACTTGAGGAAATTTCCAAGTTGCACGCTGTTTCTAGCTAAAATGCAACGGAAAGTTGAAGGCTGAACCTCCCAGTATTTTACAGGATTATTGAAGAGGCTTATGCCACTGTATAATGCTTTCTTCTTTCTTCTTCCTGTTGGACAGAAGTCATTCACTCCCAGTTTTGTAATATGATTAGAATGAAGGAAAACCACCTGCAGCAATAAAAGACAGTAAAATAGAACAATTAGTATGTAAATGGGAAAAAACATCCAAACATTCATTGTCATGTAAATAACTGAGATTTGCTGTAAGATCAGTTGGATGCAGACCTTTATGCTAACAGGAATTAGAAATTTGTGTAAAATCTTTAAAAATAGTCTCCCTCCTGCCGTAGTCTCTCTTACAAAAAGAAGTTATATAGCTTATCAGTGTGTTGTCAGAATTACTTGACTCTATATTTGCGGAACATTTTCCTAAAATGCAGTTTTATATTCTCTTATACTAAAAATTATAATGATGCAGTACTCTGTTCCACCATAATTCAAATTTTCAGTGTTTTAATATATTTTTAAAAGTAGACTCTAGGAAGGCTGCTATGAGGAAGGATTTATTAGTAGAATTAGAGGAACACTTCTGTTTAATGGTGGTGTAACTTAAATTAGTGAAAATAAAAAGGGCTTGTGATAGTAGAGTTTATAATTTGCTAAGTAAAATAGTATCTATTGACAATTTTTTTTATGTTTGCATATCTAATTTTATGCTACATTGTAAGTTGGTGTTTGGGTTGTTGTTGGTTTGGTTTTATTTTGTTTTAAATATATGCTCAAAAGATTTTCCATTGGAAGTAATATAAGAAGTAAAAAGAAATTAAATTTAGAGGTGAAAGCTGTTACCAAATAGCTTATTGTGTGCTCTGTCTACACATTTCTTCTTTGTTTCCCCAAGGTTTGTTCTGTTCTCTATCCTCAGGCATATGTCATCTTACAAGACATACTTGATTTTAATTGCTATTCCAGAATTCAGGAAATGTGTTTTGGAAGCATTTTATCACAGAATTTACCTCTTTCTAAATACAAAGTCTAAAATCTTTCTAGCCTCATAAATAATTTTCTTTCTATTTGGGGCTTGTCAGCATAGGAATGGAAAAATTTCCACTCTGTTTTAATAATATGGAAACTATAATAAGTCTGTAACAAATTTTTGAAACATTCTCTGTGTTTAGCATGTTGTTTTCATATTTATTTTTTCTTAGGAAGTGTTTCTGCTGATTATTTCAGGTTTTCCTAGTATGAGAGTCATGTCAAATAAGGCAGTTAATTATGCTTTTTAATTATGTTCTAATCAGGCAGTGTGAAAGTCAAACACCTTGTAACTTTCAGAGCTTTCTAGTAAGTTTAATGTATGACCTGTAGATATCTCAGTTCAGGTAGTCCAGGAGGAACTTTCTTGAGCTTATTTTTCTCAAGATGGATTTCACGTATACTTGGTATGTTGGCAAAACTTCCATTTTCCACATCTTTGATTTTATTATTCCCAAGGCCTAACCTAGAAATAGTACAAGGAACATTTAAATATTAATTGAGATTCACAACAACATTGAAGGGCAGACTTTTTTCTGGAGGTTGAAGTACACAGGAGTAGACATAGGGGGAAAAACTGGGTAATGTTAATTAAATCTTACCTCTGATAAGAAAAAAACCCTACCATTGATCTAACGTTTTTTCCACTTAATTTAGTCTCCATTTAAAGAACAGCAGCTAGCCTGGTGTGAGCAGTTGTCTAGTTTTGCGTGCAGTTTTTCTACTTTTAGTGGCAAGAGTTAAAATGATAGACATCAGCCAATCTGGTTGTAAAACAGATCATGTCCTGTAATCGAGTAGTATAGCTACATAGTAAAAAGTATTGTTATATATATGTTTATATATATAAATAGCCAAAGAAGAGCAAGTCTTGTAAAGAAATATATCTGTATCTTAGTTAAAGACTTTCTATTTTAAAAATTAGCAGGATTCCCCTCTTTCCTAATTCCACATTTTCCTTAATTTAGGCCTTAGGTAGATTTTTTTGCTTCAGCCTGTGTTGCTTGGAAGATGATTCAGAAGCTGGAGGCACAGGACAGTTTGGAATTTCTCTTTCCACACATCCTGCAACCCTCTGTTTCTCCTTTCTTAATATCCTCAGAAACTGAAGTTGGTATCTAAGAGCAGCTCAGTAGCCCCTCTTTGGTAGTAGTTTCTATTACCAAATCCAAACTGCAATGCTGCTCAGCCATATTTTCAGAGTATTTAACTGAGCTTTACAGAAAGAACTTCCTGCTTTTGACCTACAGCAATGATCCATTCCTTAGAAATACACGTTTTTTCTTAGACACCCCCCCTGCCCCCACTACATTTGGAAACAGTTACCAAGTTGTTTCCTTTACCAGCTACTGTATTTATCTCCAGCTAGTTTTCAGGAGGCAACTTCTCTTATAATTTACCTGTTTTCCTATTTATTTGTCTAAACAAGTCTTAGATTTCCCTTTTCCTGCCATCCTTTTATATTTTTCTTTGGAGTATGTATAGGGTGTCTCCTTCCAGTACACCTAGGCCTTCTCTGGAATTAAAATGCTATTATGACTCTTAAATTCTATAAATTTAGTTGCAAAAAAGGTATTCTGTTCCTAAAACAGAATTCAATTGGTTTTGCTGTATACCTCATTTTAGAGTGTCATTTGTGAGACTATTGACCAAGGAGCCTGGGCCTGGTCAGGAACATGCTGGAGAAGAATGGTCAATACTGTTGATAAATTGCATCCACAAAGATTCAGTATGTATTTAGAGCACAAAAAGTATGTGTAGTGAATCTTACAGTGATTGCGTTATGGGATATTGTATAAAAGGTGTGACTTTTTATCAAATAAAAGCATTCTTGCATTTGAATTTTACCTTTGAAGATCTTTATACCGGTTAAAATCCTCAAGTTCAATTGCTGTGATCTTATTGTCATCTAAATGAAGTTCTAGCAGACTGGAAGGCAAATCTGATGAAAAAAAAAGCATAGTGTGAGAAAAATAAGTTCATTTATTTTTATTGGAATATTTATTATGTTCCAAACAACTTCTTTTTTTCTGCTTAGGATTGGATGAAGAATCTTGGGGAAGGGGCCTTTCTGCATAAAATAAATGGGTATTAGAAACAAGTATGTTACTACTTAAAAAAAACAACAAACAAACACCACCACAATTTGATTGAAAATAGTAACTTAAAAGAGATGTGAAAGTCCATATGCTAATGTTAAGATTCCAGAATTCAAAAACTTGGTATAATGTTGCTAGCTTTCTTTATAATGTAGATTGTATGTTATGTGAAATCATCTGACAGTCAGTAGTCAGATACGTATTTTGTAGATACATGTTTTTTTCCACATGATATGAAATTGTGTTCTTATAGCTCCGAAGACAGGAAGAAAGCTTTCAGAACTCTCTAAGCAAAAGAAGATATTTAGCATGGTCCTTCCCATGCCAGACACAGAATGTTTTATCATGTGATACCAAATAGTCCCAATTCAGAACTGTCAGTGAATGGACCAGGAGGTGGAGTATCTTTTTTACAATAACATTTCAATCAAGATACTCACAAGTTTGAATATCTATTTGCTGGTCTCATATTCAGTTTTTCAAGCATCTGTCTAGATGGCACCCTGACACCATGTAAGACAAACCACAAGCTTGTATTATTAGTACGGCTTAGGAGAGCATTACAGCCAATACCAATGGCAACAGGAGCAGCTTTACAGTACTGAAGGGAAGTGGTGTGCTTTACAGTCTGTCCTTATGCCAGCTTCACAGTTCTGCTGTGTGCTGGTTGTGTCTAATATTGAGAGGGAAGACTACCTATCTGTCCATTTTAGATTTTAAGTGCATTTTGTAAGCTACATTTTAAAAAATCTTTTTTTGTCTTTATAACACTGGTAGATAGAAGGGTCTACAAACTTGGTTTCCATTTGTATAGAATGTGTTCATAAAATCCTGTTTGTGATTGTTTATGCATTTGACACCACATATTGGGCCTCATGCTGTGTTATAGGATATTTCACTATAACAAAGACAAAATCGGAATAATTTCATGTATATATATGTGTGTGTGGGATAGGTGATAGGAGATGGTATTATGATGATACTAGAGTAATGTTGTCTTTTTGTGTTGGGGTGAATTACCATAGGTAGGCAGCCAGATACATTTTGATCTTAAAATTCCCTGAACAATTGGGGTGAGTTGGTTTGATCTGTTGTTGCAGATTGTTTGGGGTTTTTTTAGTGCTCTCTTCTACAGGCATACTGTTGTATATGTATCTCTCTATAAGAAGAGATTTAATTTGATAAGAAACAAATTCTTTATCTGGATGATCCAGAAATAAGTATCTTAGGAACCAAAATCTAGTCTCCCTGTAAGTTAGTGAATGATAAAGCATATGGTTGGAACAGAGTTGCTTGGAACATGCAGAATTTAAGTTAGAATCTAGAGAGTTCATTTTAAGTGCATAAAAGAAGTGGGAATTCTGTATCCCTCATGACTCACGTCAAATGTCAGGGGTTTAACCATTCTCTGTAAGGATTTTTGAGAGGCAGATGTGAAAGATATGAAATGACATCACATTACAATTTAATTCACGTTGCTTCTCTTAGAGTCTCTGGATGACTAAGAGGAGTGGACTGCCAGACGGAGAAGGTGGGGAGGTGGGCTGGAGATCACGTGTGTGCAGACACGAATGCACACTTATGAGGTGTAACATTGATTGCTAAGTGCAAAAAAGACAATAAGGTAGGAAGTGGTTTGCTAATAATGAACAATACAAAACATTTTGATCATATAGATATTAAAGTATTTTATATAGGAGTACACTGGTATAGGCAGAATAGAAAAGGTAAAACAGCATACCTTTAGGAATTGAAGTTAATTTAGCTTCTGCAATTCTTATATGATAGATATTTACACCTTCAAAAGCCCCTTGCTCTATTCCATCATTGTAAAGAGGATTTGCACTCATTTCTGTCCAAGGAGGGGAATAAAGAAAGTAGTTATGGCACAAGAATTTTGTGTACATTTTAAACATTTCATTTTTTAATGATTTCAGGTATTTTAAGTATTATTTAGTGCTTGGCTTTGATTACCTATTCTGAGGGGTGGACGTCACAGCTTTCAGCAAATAAAGGCTCTCTAACTTGGCTTGCAAGGTTACCAAAAGCTTGGCCTATCTAACAACTTCACATTGAAATTAAATTGAAAAAGATAACTTCCACAGCATTGATTTTTCTTAATAGGAAATTGCACATTAGGGAAATGTTCAAAAGAAAGTTATGTATAGTAGGTTACATTTTTTATAAAGACATTTTCTACTTACCTAAAACATGTAGAGACTTCATTCCTTTAAATACATCCTTGGGGATTTTTTTAACCTTATTAGCATGAATTCTGAGCTCTGCTAAAGTTTTTGGTAGATTTGTTGGAATCTCAGTTAGCTGGTTATGGGACAAATACAGTCGTCGTAGCCTCTTTGTTGGTTGAAAGGCTTTTGGATGAATCTTGTATATTTTGTTGTTGTTCAAAGCCAGTGCCTTTGAGATATAGGAAGAGCAATATAAAGAAAACACCTTTATACCAGAACGTTTTTTTAAGTAATGAATTTTAAATATAATTTAACAATTAGGTATTCTAAATATTTTATTTTTCTATAATGCCAAACTTTAGGACTTTGTATATACTTGGGCATTTCAGTTGATTGGGAAAAACAAAAAAGAACCTGAAAGGTGGAGCATCAACTAGAAAAAAAACCCAGTCAGAGCTAAGAAAGTGAGAAGAACTGGCAGAACTGTCTTCATACATTTTGTAGGATGGTATGGCAGATATATTCTTTTTGTTGTTCCTTAATACAGACAAGTTTTCAAAACTTGATTTCATCTTTTATTTCAGCATAATGCTGCAAAATAAAAGTCAGGGTTTTAATCTGTATTTTTTTAAAATTCATGTCTGTTAATGACTGATATATACACAGTAATTTATATCTTCTTCGCATTAATTCACTCCTGTGAATTTAAGTCCCTTCTATACAACACATTAATGCTTTTTGGGACAGTTTTTTATTCTTGGTTGCTGTGTGTCGTCAGAGTACTTGTAATTAATAAACTACTGACAACAAAATATTAGTTCTCTGAAATAATTTTGCATGTCAAATCACATCTCTATGTTTCCATATTAATTTTTCTTCCTTTTTGACTTCTCCGAGCTGTTGGGAATTCATCTGCTTTCTGGAATTGTGGGGAAAAGTAGAGCAAAACAGAATTAATCTCTTTTTCCAAGATAAAATCGGAATAGCTTAAGGAAATAAACAGGAAATGCTTCTTCCTAGTCCAAGTTGCCATCTGTGCATTTGCTAAGCATACTAGTACTCAGAGAAGTTGAACAAAGTAAACTTTGCTTTCATTAAAGGTTTTGTTAGACCTTGCTGCAAATTAACTGATAAAAAAAAGCCAAACAACTCAGTTTTCAGTTATCACATAATTAAGTGTTTACTGTATGATGTGGTGACTGCTGATGTATTCCAGTGAATTTCTTAGTCCTTGAAGATAAGTTTCTGTATCATCTTTTATACTGAATATTAAGCACAGTTAGTGTGTTTACCCCCAAGTTGCTGGCAAGTCAGTTCTGTACCCAGACACGAGACACTTGAGGGGAATTGGAAGCACCTTGTTGCAAACAATTACTTTATATAGTTCCTATTTTTCTATCCTAGCTTAACCCATAATAATTAACAGGCTCATTAATAAACCCTTATATGTGGTAAATTCTCAGTTTTGCTAGAAACCAAATACAACTGAAAAGGATTTGTTTTATGTTAGTGTAATGAATTATTCATATCTTTCTAAGACGGAACAGAGTGAGGTTAATTTGCTGTAACTTGTGGAACAGTTCTGTAATTTTTACATTGAAAATTTTTAAATTGTTAATATTTGTTGATACTGGATCTGGAGTGACATCTTATGGAAATAAGTATTCCAAAATAGATTTAATCTACTTTTCCAGGACTCTGAGGCTCTCTTATATTCTTTCATTATAAAAAGAGATTATAGTATATGGCTAATATCTAGATTTATTTGTTGCCAGTGATACTTACTTCAAAGGCTGTCTCTATATGCTTACTTGAGTGTGTTAAAAAAAAGTAGTAAAGCACCTGACTTTTTCATTAATTCTGCTTTGGTCTGTTTTCTGTTCAAGTCAGTTGGATTTGTAGCATTAGTTTCAGTGGTGTATGTGCCAGTCATATGCTGTGTGCTTTTGAAAATACCCTTAGAAAATGTTCTAGTTTTCCTGTGAGATTAAGTTCTTTCAGCTGTTTTACAGGTAAGCAGATAAAAAAGGAGCTCTTGTCTTGCAGCCTTTAAAATGTAGAGAGTGTTTCTGTCAATACTAAGGCCTGAATAAATCTTGAGAATCTATTTGGTGAGATACACATGGTATGTTTCCTGGGTGTTGTAGGAAGTAGCACAGTTCTTACAGCTCAAAGGCATTTGCTTCTTACTATGTGGAAGTAGTCAAATATGGAGTCATTAGAGTCTATGGATACTATTGGAGAAGAAAAATACTGTTTATATTATACAAGTATAAAATATTTCAAATTGCTAAATAAGATTTCAAACTTGGAAAATAAAAAGCTTACATAAAGTGATGTGAGCCCTTGGAGATCGTTTTCCTTGACCTCTTTTATTTTGTTGTTTTGAAGGTCAATCATGCGAGTGTCTGGTGGAATGTTGCGAGGTATTGATGTCAAACCTATTATGTGACAGAAACAGAAACATTACGTGCCTGTATATAAGTCCAAAGAGATTAACTGCTAAACAGCAAAACACAGTGAGATTGTTGGGAAATTATGATCAGCCATAAAGCAAAGGATAGAAGGATATGATTGATAATGAGAGGAGCTAATTATGTAAGAACGAATGACAAAAATGTGTGAATAGTTTCCAGTGGAACTGCTTCTACCTCTGACCATAAAAAGCTTGAATGAGGTGCTCAAGGCAATTCATTGCATCTCCGAAAAAAGCAGCCTCAGCTCAGGTTGTCCTACAGGTAGTGATGAAGTCCTTGGAGAAAGCCACCCTCAGAGGACCTGGGCTGTGGGTCTGTGTTGAGGAACAGGGCTCTTGCAGTGGCTTTAGGGAATTTCTGCTCAGTGCTTGGATGCTCCTTTCTACCTCTGCACTGCCCTATCCTTTGTACTGACATGGTTGCTTATGTAGCTGTCCAGGTAACAACATCAGGGCTGAGAAATGTGTTCTTGCTAAAAGTGGACAGAAGATCGTCTTCTAGCTGCCAGTATTTTTATTAGCAGTGGTATAAATTTACCAATCCAGTTAATTGTTCAGTGACAAAATACTTTAGTTCATGCCATCTGAGATCCTGTATCAGCAAAAGAGACAAGTGAGGAATAGTAACTTTCTTTTCAATGGAAATGCTGATGCATGAATGCTGGTCCAGTTTATTAAGAATTATTCCGTAATTATAGGTTACTGTTATTTAAAGATTAAGTCTATTAATAGGGTTCTTTTTTTATGTGTGAACTCAAATAAGGCAATTTGCAGTCTGTAAACCAGATGCAATAATCACAGTTTATTGCTGTCAGCAAAAGCTAATTTTGATTCCTTAATAATGACACATTCTCTAAAAATCTGGCAATTTATGTATTGACTCACTGTAAGACATGAGGAGTCTAGGATAAAGTTTAGGGTGGTGGCAGAGCTATGATTGGAATGAATGTCATCGTCACTGTGCTAGTGGCAGGAGCATAGTCCTTTGATTACCTTGAATCATGGGAAAACATCAACGAATACAAATTCAAATTAGCACAATTAATATTTAATTCATTCTTATGGAGTAGTATGAATCTGCAACAGTGGCAGCAGCAGATTTGCCCTTAGCTAAAATGTTACTATTGATGCTCACTTTACTGATACTAAGCTGAGGAAATAGTTTGCAACCCATTTATGCGCTGCTGCTAAACTTCCTTGTGCTGCATTTATGGCCACTTTCTCCTTTGCTATGTTTTCTTGCCATTTGACCTGTTTCTTTACAGTTGTGAATGAAGTACTTCTTTAGCCATAGTCTTTTTGTGGGAGAGGGACTAGTATCTTGTCTAATGCAAATGGCAGTTTCAGCAAAGTGTTTTCCTTCTCTATTTGGGTATTGCTTCCTGGAAGTAAATGAAACAGGAGAAAGTGTAATCTAAAATGTAAATGTAAGCATTTTGGCATTCTCTGATCTCTTAGTGGATAAAAAGCTGTGCAGATTACATGTGACAACCCTGGCAAGCATTTTGTTAAATAGTTTTGCAGTTATTTGTTATATATTCGAAATGCCTTTCCATTCTATGCTGTTATCAATGGGTCATTGCTAATGGAATGTGGCTGTAGCAATTTATTTTCTAAACTGATGCACATAAACTGTGAAAGTTTTAAAAAGTGCTAGACACAGATTAGATATGGTTTGCAAGCATAACTGGAAACATGTTCCGTTTGAAAATGACTAGTATAGGAATATGTGAATGGAGCTGTAGAATTCATCTTCTAAGAGGAAAATCCTTCAAAGTAGAGTTCAGTAGGGAACAGACACAGGAATTCATTCTTACCTAAGTCAGAGCAATGGACAACTCTCACATAGCACTGGCATCCAAAGGGGCATGTTGGGAATAGATCAAAAGGAATTAGTGGCATAATTGGTTCAGTGGTTGGAAATAGAGAATTGTCATCGTCGTCGTCATCATCATCTTCCATATCTTGGAGCATCATATTCTTTAGTGTCAAATATGAAGGACCAATGAGAGATTTGGCAGAGCACAAAGCCAAGAAGAAGAAGAGTGTGTATTCCTTCATATCTTCTTATTCAGGATAGCCAATCTTGAGGAGGAAAGTAAACAGACAAAAACCTCAAACACAAGAATTAGTGAACATGAAGTGGCAAATAAGGCTATTGAACTTTTTACTTCATTCACTGTCACAGTCTGTAGTCCTGAAAAATTGTCTGTTATGAATACTAAGGTTTAATTAGTTTATAAAGGATGATGAATAGTAAAAATATTATTTAAAATATAGTGCTTATATTATTGTTAGAACAAACACTATTAAAATATCAAGTCATCAGACATTCATGCCATATCAAGTTGGGTTTTTTTAGTTTAGTTTAAAAAATTAGTATAATCATTTGCTTCAGTCTTTGAAGCAAACTTCACCAGAATTTGGAATTAGATTTGGTTTATTCCTTCTTAATGAAAAAAGATTTTTCAATAGGATATATGCATATGTGCATTGTTTGTCTCTAGAAAATTGGGAAATATTTGATTAGCAATACATAAAATTTACTCATCTGGATACTCCCTAAACACTTCTAATTGAACACTTCTAATCTGGAAAAATAGGTAAGGTGTCAGTCCTGACAACAGCATTTCCTAAATTCCAGTTATTTGTATATTGTTGCTATTGACAGCAGCTCACCTTTGTATTTAATGCAAGCACATCTGTATATGGCTTTTATGTGATGAGGGCTCTTTTCTCTGACAAGGGCTTGCGCGTTGTGAGTCGGTGTCATTTAAAATCTGTAATTTAAACTACATTCAGAAAAAAGCTGGAAACTAATACTTCTCTGTGAGTATTTTTTAATTATTTTTTTTTTCAACCTGGCTTTGTCATCATAGGGTCTGTACATTGTAACTAGACAGCCAGCTGAAAGGAGCTCAAAATGTGCCATGCTTGAATTTAATGCCATTAAATTAATCAGCTTTCTAGCTTACCTCTAACTTGATTACTTCTGTAATCAAAGGTTCTTCAGTCTAGAAGACAGAAAGAAGATGGATTGGTTATGTCAGATAGATACAATTATTTTTTTCTGATGTTGTTCAGAAGAACACACAAGTTACAGAAGACTTAAGAAGCAGATTTGTTTGTAGAAAAATATGGTAGACTGTCTCATTCCAGCTGTTCATTCCATTGCATTCAGCTTCTCTGAGTTCTAATTTTTCCAGATTTCTTTTATCGACACCTGACTGGGAAAAGCAGCACACCAGACCTACAGTACAGTTTCTTACCTGAGTCATGATGATCCATAGGTCAAAACTCTTAGATATTTTCTACATACTGTGCTTTTAGTCTAAAGATGATTTTTTGATCAAACAGTCTGTAAAACTGGACAAAAGGGATAGAGAAATAGTAAGAACTGTTGCAGGATGTTTTGCAGCTCTGTGAGAAGAGACTAAATCCAACCCTCAGCTCCGCAGTGCTTCCCACTAAAGCCTAATTCCGGAAGTAATTTGTATCCTACAGCTGTGCAACCCAGGAGGTGCTGTCATAAATTGTATTATGCATATCCTGTTTTCAAAATGTTTCTATTTAGACCATCATAGACCACTTTAGGGAAGTACTAAACTGATTTCAGTCCTTGCTTGATCACCTAATTAAACGCTTACTGATGGGATTATAGCTGAAAAATGTCTTTATGTAGACATTTTGTCCTTGGTCCTTGATCACAGGAAAAGGATTGCATTGGTTTGTACATGGGGCTTAGCTTGCTCAAAATTCTGAGGATTTGTTTGCATTTCTTTTTTCTATGCAAGGTCATTTTGATCTTTCATATATATGTTTCTTAACAGCATTAAACGCTGTATGTTGCATACACTGCTACTAATGTAAACATTTCAGGGTGTATAAAAAGATTAAAGTATTTAGATTACATAAAACCTAGCCTTCTGAAAAGTATGCAGTGACTCCTTCCCCTCAAATACATGTCTGAAAAGAGAAGCGTGTTATTTGTATCCTGCAGGTATGCAGCATAGAACTGTAAGTTTAGTATTTGTTGTGTTCTCCCAAGTGCATGCTCATTTGAGTACTGTAATCTTTTACTGACTCAGCAATCTCTTAGAGGAGTCTTCACTTATATTTTTCCCAGTTTTTTCCCTCATGTTCAAAATAATATTCTCTTTCAATGCTTCTAGATAGCATTTTATACTTGTACTTGCAATCCTATACAATGTGTTTTTTGAAAGAGTCTAAAATACTGCTGGCAACAAGATGTGGAACCTCTGTTTGTTGGAAGAGAATTGCAGTCATGTCTGGCCGTATACCTCTAGAATATTTGGCCCTTTTTCAGCTTCAGCAAAACAGTCAAAATGTTCAATACTTCAGTCATCCCACTAATTAGGTTATGAGGCATCTGATGCCTTTCAGACCTCTGAGTTCTCCTTATTCTTGGACAAGTGCTTTTAAGGGATGGGTTTTCACAGATGACTCAGACTTTACTCAGACTGCTCTTCTTCCCCTGCCTGCTTAGGTATTAAGTGACAAAACACTCTGTGCCTTATTTAGTGGTTTTGTACAATTTCTGCATGTAGGATATCAAGTGTTGTAGCACATATCATGTCTTGGGACATATAATTTCTAAGTCCCTTCTGACTTGTATTTCTGATAGGCCTAAAGTAGTACCTAAAGGATAATCTTTCCTGTGGGTTCCTGAAATGCTTCTGTGACTGGTGCTAGGAAGTTGTCTTATGAAACAATTTTAAAATTTGTTTGCACACTTGCACATGTAGCAAATGTATTACATCTTTTCTTTCAGATATTAAAAAAGCTAATTATGATTTCAAACTATAAAAAGTCTGAGGCTGTGGTTGGAGTAGTGGCCAGTTTGAAATCCTGAAAAATGTGTTGATCACATATTTTGAGAAAAGTCTGAGAAAAGTAGCACTAAAATATGTCATTGATGACATATTAATCTGAAAAGAAGTCCTGTTACAGAAGGAAGCCTGACTTGTGATACAATTATATTTTTTTTAGGGCAAAGAGAAAGCTCTTGCTTCATCTTCCCATTCTGCCATTAGGAAATGTATCCTTAGTGCTACTTGGCTCTGTAGGTAGGGGTGGTAATCAAGTTTGACTCCAGTTTTGCATCGGCCAAAGAACTGTCAGAGAAAGGATTCCAAAGAGCTCGATGAGTTTCACAGTAAAGAGATGTTGATATGTCTCTGTAGAAATGCTCTGACTCTGCAGCTCATCTCAAAGAACTTCTGAAACTTTCTGCATGCTTTAAATTCAAGAGTAATGCAATGAGAAGAAAATGTAAACCTAAAATCCAAGATCCTAGTGATTTTTCTGAAAATACTTCCATTGTTTTATAATGAGAATTTTCTTCAATGTTTATTTGTTTCAGAAAGTACAGCTGATGAATACAGCTGTACTAATTAATGGCTCACTGCTGCCACCTGAGGCTGGTTCTGCTCCTCGGGTACAAACCTTCTGTTCTCTCTTACCAGCTTTTCCACTGAGGCTGTTTGAACTCACTAATGTGAGCAAGAAAGAAAACGCAACACATTCTTTCTGGGTAAACAAACTGGATCAGTCTGAGTATCAGAGCCAGAACAAAGGAATGGGTGAAACAGCCTGGTTTAGGGCGAGAGAATGTTGAAGGAGAGGGAAGAGAGGTGCCACTGCCCTTCTTGACATATATAAGCTGTTAGGCTCAGTTTGTTTTGACTAATACCCTGAACCAGATGATTGCTGCTTAGTCAGTCTAGCCTTGTCAATTGTCATTTTTACATGCAAGAACACTGAAGATGAGTTTGAGAAAGCATGTAGCAAATTCAAGGAGGGCTCACATACTTCTCCATTGTACATTCTTTAGTCTAATCCTGCTTTTCCTTCAATATAAAAAGCTTCTGAATAGCATCTTTTCACTGGAACACTAGCCACCCTGAAGTGCAGTAACTGAATGTGGAAGGTGCACTTTACATATAGAGATGCTGTAAGTCTGGGCTTTCTTTCCTGAAGTATGTAACAATCCTAAAATCACTGTACTAATTGTTTGGGACATACTCAGCCTAATGGGATGATCTTTACCAAAAACATATTGTCAAACAGCATGTGGAAGATATGAACATTTATGCTATTAGCTTAGGATAATACATAGCATTTGTAACTAATGAAATGCAGGTGCTGTCACAGGATATTAATATGATTAAAACTTTTTAAGGATTGTGTGGGGTATTCCCACCTAAGTGTGCAATAGTTCTGTGACATAAAAATATTAAACATTAATGAATGGAAGAAAAACATTTCCTGTGAGAACAGACATTATGTTGTTAGTATAGGCGGTGTGCATAAAAAAAAAAAAAGTCTGGATTCCTTGGCAGTTGCATGCCACTCCTGCAGCATGTGGTCACTTTACCAGTTATGACACTGAAGGAAATAAAGTTTTAAGACATTAAAAGACACTAAATTGTATTCAGAAATTACTTCTGTTACCGGTGTACGAGCAAATTTCCTCTGGCATTGTTTCTGAAAAAGTAATGTTTAAGTGATTCAGTGGTGGTCTTTACGGAGGCAAAGGAAAATCCCTGTGTTCATTAATAACACAAATCATTGCACTGTGCACAGATATTGTCCAAAGAAAGGCAAGACCATAGCTGTTTTGAAAGCTGTATTTAAAAATAGTTTTTGTTCTATTAGTCATTGTCCCATTCCAGAAATGAGAGGAGTTTATGTTTAACTCTTTGTCTACTCTACTGACTTAATTAAATTGCTTAAGAAAAACAGGAGGAAATTTTTTTGTCAGACTGAAGAAATTATTCTATCTTGAGGAACAGTCCAATACTGAAGTTAGGTAGTATAATAATGAATAGCATGTTTACAAAATAAGTTTGGAGAGTATTTACTTTGTATGGAAAACACTGCTTGACTCTTGTGTGTTACTGAATATCATCCATGAGTGGTTTTAGTTTGTAGCTCGTATACAGTTCATACTTTCATGTGTCATTTTTAATTACTTTGCTGATATCTAATAAAAAACCCCAAAACCTCAAATACCCAATTACAGAAGTTAACACTGAGTTAT